AAACTACTCCCGAAATATGAAGGTCCCTACCGTGTGATCGAGCGCACATCTCCGGTCAACTATCTTATCGAGCCAATTGAACAATCTTCGGACATGCGCCGCCGCGGGCGCGACATAGTCAACGTGGAGCGTCTGAAGGCTTACTATGACCCGCTCGTAGTGACAAGCTGTTAGGTCGCCAGGCGGCTCCCTCTTCGACCCCGGGGTAATTGTACAGAAGCCGCCGAACACTGAAGTGGGTCGAACTCTTATGTGCTTTCTAGTGGGTCTGCCCAAAGAGAACGCCGCTCGCGCGGAGACCCCGTGTTTTGGCCGTTACTGTCGCCATTGTGTAGACTCGCTGTGTGCCGGCTAATGAACGCCATAACAATATATATATATATATATATATATATATATATATATATATATATATATATATATATATATATATATATATATATATATATATATATATATATATATATATATATATGAGATAGATAGATATGTGGGGTTTAACGTCCCGAAACCACCATATGATTATGAGAGACGCCGTAGTGGACGGCTCCGGAAATTTCGACCACCCGGGGTTCTTTAACGTTCACTCAAATCTGAGCACACGGGCCTACAACATTTCCGCCTCCATCGGAAATGCAGCCGCCGCAGCCGGGATTCGAACCCGCGACCTGCGGGTCAGCAGCCGAGTACCTTAGCCACTAGACCACCGCGGCGGGGCATATATATATATATATATATATATATATATATATATATATATATATATATATATATATATATATATATATATATATATATATATATATATGTATATATGGGTGAAATAGATGATCAGAGTTTCTTCCGGCTACCGTAAAAAAAGTTATAACTTCAAGAATAGTGCAGTATAGGAAACAAAACAATAAAATATTTATTTAATCCTAACAGTTTCGGCTGGTGGACCAGCCTTCTTCGGAGGATGTAAGTGAAATGATACAAGTTCCCGTAGCAGAGGGTCACCCTCACAGTTTAAAGACCCTCCAAAAAAAAAAAAAAGACAAGCGGGCGAACGAGATAGCAACAGACAACAAGAAGCAGAAGAAGGAGAGGAACTAGAAAGGAGCGACGGAGAGCCGCCGGAAACGAGCGGGTAATTCTGGCATTGTTACTGGGTATAGGTAAGACGCGCCGCCAGCGGAGGCGACCAAGAAAAACGGAAAAATGTGGAACATGTTGCCGCTTACTCGCATCCCACACATGGATCGAGTTTAAGTTCACGTGGTTCGGCGGCTGGCCCGTGGCATCGGGCCACACACACACACACACACACACACACACACACACACACACACACACACACACACACACACACACACACACACACACACACACAAGAAGCATACGACCCGCTCCAGCTTTCGGAATATAATGGCCACGTTGGAAAGCTAATGTGCCCTCTCCCCCTCCCTCCACCTGCCCTCTCTTGCAGAAAAATGTACAAACAGTCATACTGAAAATAAATGATTGGGTATTCTTGTAAAGGATTAAAACGTAAACAAAAAATATATAAAAATAAATAATACTAAAAAAAGTACTCAGAAATGAAAATAAAGTCTAATAATACTAACACACGCCGTTTGGTTCACGTAGCATCGAATTCGTTTAGTTTCACGCACTATATTGACCACCTTGCGTGTGCGACTTCCCGTATGTATAAATAAATAATTGAGTAATTCAATTTCTGTGTTTCACGAAACGTCGCGGAGGCACGTCTTTCGCCCAGGGCTCTCGTTGATTCCGTGGGTAAATGATCTGAATTTCTTTATAAAGTATGACTCCCGCTGTTCACGCTCCCGTGTGTTCTGGAAGCCGGATTGTAGGAGTATGACACTTACGCATTCGAAAGAGTGACCAGGAAGATTGATATGTTTGGAGAACGGCAAATTGGGGAGGCCCTTTACGTGTGCCCTGTGGTTGTTGAAACGCAAACGGAACGCGGTTTCCGTGTGTCCAATATATTCCTGTTTGCACACCTCACAGCGAATTTTGTATACCACATTGGCTGAGTCACAGTTAAGGTCGTCTTTAATTTTGTACACATAGTCTGAACAGGAGGCTTCGGCCGTATCTGTGGTCACCATGTGTGTGCACACCCTGCAGCGAGGTTTCCCGCACGGTCTACAGCCCTGATGGGGGTCGGATTTGTGTGTTTTCGCCCTGACCAGTAAGTCTCTCAGGTTTTTATTTCTTCGGTAAACCACCTTGGGCGGAGTCTGAAAAATGGCAGAGAGGCGACTACTCTGTTTAAGTATGTTGAAGTGGCGGTTTAGTATAGAATTCACCCGAGGGGCGGCGGCGCAGTATGTGAGGATTAAATTTGCCCCTGAAGTTATACATCTTTATTCCCACCTTTTGCTCGCCCATTGTTGATTCTCGGTCCAAAGAGCGAGCGCGCTCAATTGCATTGTCAATTATTTTTTCGGGGTACTTTTGACGCAAGAAGGCTGTTCTCAATTCCTGTGCGTGGGTGTCGAATTGCGTGATTTCTGAGCAAATTCTTCTGTATCTGTGGGCTTGAGAGTAAGGAACACCTGTTTTGCAATGATGGGGGTGACTGCTATGGAAATGCAGATACTGTTGGCGGTCTGTTGGTTTTTTATACAGGGAAGTAGATATGGTGGTGCCACTGAGTGATACAGTGACATCCAGAAAGTGAACACTCCTCTGCGAATACGTGTGCGTGAATGTTATCGAAGGATGCACGGAGTTGAAACCGGAAATGAATTTGGAAAGATTATGTTCACTATCGGCCCACACGAAGAATATATCATCGAGGAAGCGTCGGTAAAATATAGGTTTGAATTGAGAATTTTCGAGGAAAGGAATCTCCAAAGAGGCCATGAAAATATTTGCGTAATTTGGGGCCATTTTAGTTCCCATGGCAGTTCCGTTTACTTGCAGATAATGTTTTTGGTTGAATTCAAAGTTATTATGTTTAAGTACCAGATTTAGGAGCACCTCTAAAGCGCTTTCGTCGCATTCACTCGTCGATTTACTTTTTCCATAGGCGGCGACTGTGGCGGCGATTCCTTCGGTGTGGGGAATGTTTGTGTACAGTGATGAGACATCCATGGTGACCAAATAGCAATCTAGATTACCACAAGTTTTGAGACTTCTCGAAGGAAGTGGCTGGTATCTTTGATGTATGTTGGGAATGATTGTGGGATGTGCCTAATCAGAGAGTCAATGAAACTAGAGATTTTTTCAGTTGCAGTACCGTTGCTGGAAACTATGGGTCGGCCGGGATTGTTAATCTTGTGAATTTTGGGTAGTAAATAGAAACGCCCGGGACACGATTTGCCAGGGGACATCATTTTAAGCATAGGGTAGGTTATCTTCCCACTTTTACGTAATGATATTAGTGAGGCCTTAATAGTACTTTCATACTCCTCTGTCGGATCACAAGGGAGTTGTTTATAGAAATTTTCATCTGCCAGTTGGCGAAGCCCTTCTTTGATGTAGTCAGTCCTGTCGAGTACAACCACAGCACCACCCTTATCAGCTGGTTTAATAACGATGCTCTGGCTGTCACTTAAACTGCGCAAAGCCTCCCGCTCCTCTTTGGACAGATTGTTGCGAATGGGTTGGTGCTTTTCATATTCCCTGATTATATCACCCTGGACGGCTGAAATGTACATGTCTAGATATTTGTCTCGTTGTTCACCTGGAGTCCAAGATTTATTTGAAAATTGATTTTGTTGCGTGCTGCTTCGATCATGAAAATATTCTTTTAGACGCATGGTTCTGGCAAAGTTGTCCAAATCTTGGTAAAGTTTAAACTCATCAATTTTGCCAGAGGCGGGGCAGAAGGTTAGACCTTTTTATAGCAGCTTTGTTTGCGCAGGTGTCAAAGATTTGCTGGAAAGGTTAACCACATTGGTGACATCGGTGCTCTTTTGTGGAGATTGATGAGAGGTAACAGGTTGATCTGTATACGTTGTGGGAGGATTGCTGGCGGAGTATTTTAAAGTCGGCCACGCGCCGTCTCGCCTCAATTTCTTGTCCTTCTTGCCCTGAATGGTCAATCTCTTTTTTCCTTCGTATTTGGCCAGCTCTTCTGTTTCTGACTGCGTCAAACTTGACTGTTTTAGTCGCGCCTTTTCTTCCTCTTTAAGTTCCACGGCCTTACGTGTACTGTGTTGTATTACGACCTGTGCAAGCCTAATAGATGCATCTTTTAAGATATTGCTCCACTGCCGCTGCTCACTTTTGTTGAAGTTATTCATTGCGGGTTGCAGTTGAACAGTGAGACCCTTTGGTGCGAATCCTGATGAAATATATGTTTTAAGGTTTGAAGCATGCATTTCAAACCTCACGCGCTTATCAACATTCTTTCTTAAGGCCATGAAATCACGAGACCATATACCTATATATATATATATATATATATATATATATATATATATATATATATATATATATATATATATATATATATATATATATATATATATATATATATAGGTATGGGATACGGCACAACGGGAGCGTTGTCAACAAGGATAAATATATTTATTTCCCAACAGTTTCGGGAGGGGTCCTCCCTTCAGTATAACTCATCCCCTGATGAAGGGAGGACTCCTCCCGAAACTGTTGGGAAATAAATATATTTATCCTTGTTGACAACGCTCCCGTTGTGCCATCCATACCTTCACAAACCTTCCCATACCTTCACAAAGACTAACTCCATATCCCATACCTTCACAAAGACTAACTGGCCCATTGAATTATTACTCCCACTATATATATATATATATATATATATATATATATATATATATATATATATATATATATATATATATATATATATATATATATATATATATATATATATATATATATATATATATATGCGTGTCTGTGTGTCTGTGCGTGCACGCGTGCACGTGTGTGTGCGTGTGTGTGCGTGGTGTGTGTGTGTGTGTGTGTGTGCGCGCGCGCGAGCCGCATCATCATTCCCCACGCACAGGTTTAATTTTTCACGTATGGCAAGCGCGGATTGAGGTGAAGGCATTGTGTAGTAGCCTCATTGAGCTCCGATTACCGCCAAGTTTGTGAACACCTGCGAAGTTGTCAAGGAACTCCTCTCTTCCTGGTACTCCCTTAAAGTTTGAAGCACGAATCCGGGCTTCTTCTTTGCGAAAAACGAGGTATCTGAAAGGAACCCAGAACGCGATCACATATATAGAATGCATAAACGTTAAATGTGTCCTCGAGCAGTGCATATATGGTATTATAAGGTCACATGTGTACCTTTCAAAACGAATCCGGAATCCTTGATTGTCAGCTTTTTGTTCTTCCAAGACAGATAGAGCAGCAAAAATGTGCCAGCGTAAAACTCGTTCACAACATCCGTGACGTCATTTCTTTCGTTGCAGCACCTGCGCGTAAATCACTGTTTTCAACATTAATGTATCTAATAAAACTCTATAAGTCCGCGGCATTTCCTCTTCAAATGTGTATGCACACAAACCTGCACCGGTGGACGCGCGCTCCAGACTGAAAGTGTCATGATCGGGCCGGAGAGCTGCATGATGACACCGCCTTCAGAGAGCAGTGGTCAATGCGTCAGTGGGACTATTTCGTTAGTCGAGGAACTGCAGCGCTTTGGTCGTTTGGTCGCAAGCATATGCAGCAAGCTCAGACATCTGAAGAGGCGCTCTTCCCTGCCCCTCATGGCTAATTGTTTCCTGATAGCAAAAACCGCAGTGGGGGGGGGGGGTAAATATTTTACTTAATACTTCGCTAGCATCACCCCTTTTTTCTTTCTCTGCCCGCGTGTTTAGCGCAGGAGGGAGCCGGATGGTGCTGGGGTAAGTTTGGTGCAGATTGCAACGTATCAGCTACGCTATATGCTGATATTGGTGTGTTTAAGCATTCCGGTTTAAGCACAGGAGACTAGCCCTTCCGACAAGTCAGAGTGAATTTTCGATTTCAAACTGTCAAGCTCGTTGAACTGTACCCCAATAACAAATAAGTCATTAACCACAATATTTACGTTTTCAACTTAAATTACACTGTGAGAATACTGTTTGCCGCCACGCCGGGGTGATGCAACCGTTTAATGGGTCGAACAGCAGCGAGACAGCAGCCAGCGGTTTCAGCAGCAGCTGCAGCAGCACGAGCCTCTGCCACAACAAACGTCTTCTTCGTCGTCTCTAGCAAGCCCGTATTTTTGTCACTACAACACTGTTGTTTCCTAGCGCTACTAGGCGTTGAGTTAGAGTTACTGTATATTGTCACGTCACTCCAGGGGGTGTCGACAAGCTTTACTGACGTCTGAGCAACAGGGCTCTAACCAAGCGCGTTGGTTGGGCTTGTTTGCCAGAGCGGGTGCCCACGTGCACTTCTTTCTTCTCTGTGGTGTGTGCCTTCACCTTGGCATACGACCCACTACTAGAAGTAGGTGGCAATATTCCCCCTCAACAACAACAAAAAAATGACATCGTCCCGATGCTGTAAAGTTATTGAAAAAACAAAACAAAACAAAGTAGTTTAAACAATGAAAAAGGGCACCAATAATCAAATGTTAGACGCGATAAGTTCACCAATGATGAGGCAATTGTCAGAGCACAAATAAAAAAAACACAGGAAAAGTGGTCTTTTAGGAACGCGCAAAATAAGGCTTCATGCGCACCACGTGAACTATGTCAGAGGTCGGTTGTTTTCGTTGTACCCGTCGTGACGACGTAGCGTCCGGAACCACTTCGTAGTTTACGTCACTCACGTGGCGTAATACTTTATACGGACCGAAGTATCTGCTGAGCAACTTTTCGGAGATGCCACGGCGTCGAACAGGGGTCCAAATCCAAACTTGGTCTCCCGGTCAGTAAGATACGTCATTGTGACGCATATTGTAACGTCGTGCATCGACCTGTTGCTGCTGACCAATGTGTAGCCGGGCGAGCTGGCGAGTTTCCTCGGCACGTTCTGCAAATTCTTCTGCGTCAGTTGTTAATTGATCGGCGCCTTCACAAGGAAGCATCGCATCCAGCATCGTCTGAACTTCGCGGCCGTAGAGAAGGCGAAACGGTGTAAATCGGGTTGTTTCTTGAAAGGCGGTGTTATAAGCGAACGTCACATAAGGCAAAATGCGATCCCATGTTTTGTGTTGGACGTCGATGTACATGGAGATCATGTTTGTGACTGTCTTATTTAGTCGCTCGGTTAAGCCATTGCTCTGCGGATGGTAAGCAGTCGTCGTTCGATGCCTAGTGTTACTTAGTCGAAAAACTTCATCAATAAGCTGTGCAGTGAACGCTGTTCCTCTGTCGGTTATCACTGTAAATGGAGCACCGTGGCGCAGAACAATGTGGCACATGAAGAACTGTGCTACCTCAGAAGCCGTGGCTCGTGGTATCGCCTGTGTCTCAGCATAGCGGGTCAAATAGTCAGTTGCAACAATGACCCATTTGTTGCCGTCGGACGATAAAGGGAATGGGCCGAGAATGTCCATGCCGACTTGGTCAAATGGCTTGTGGGGTGGATCAATTGGCTGAAGTAATCCAGCCGGCTTGCTTGGTGGCGACTTTCGACGCTGGCATTCACGACAGCTTTTAACGTACTGCTTCACGCTTGCCGAAAGTCCGGGCCAGTAGTACGCCTCACTTACTCTGGCGAGCATTCGCGAGTAACCTAGATGACCAGATGTGGGCTCGTCATGACACGCGGAGAGGACTTCGTCCCGCATGTCCTTCGGAACGACGAGGAGGTAAGCGCGGCTCGTAGAACGGGCGTTTTTTTTTGTACAGGACATTATCTCGGAGGCAGAAAGACGTCACGACGCGAGATAGATGGCGAGGTATAACGGCGCTATGACCCTCCAGATAGTCGATGAGCGGTCGAATCTCTTCATCCTCTCGCTGGTGTCTGCTCAAGTCAGATGAGCTAAGGGCGCCCAGGAAACCGTCATCGTCCTCTTCTTCTTGATTGACTAAAGGTATGGGTGCACGCGACAGCGTATCAGCGTCTTCATGCTTCCGTCCAGACTTATATACGATGGTAACATCAAATTCCTGTAGACATAAGCTCCATCGGGCCAGTCGTCCAGAGGGATCACGAATGTTTACCAACCAGCAGAGGGCATGGTGGTCCGTCACCACTTTAAATAGACGACCATAGAGGTACGGGCGAAACTTGGTGATCGCCCCACACTACTGCGAGACACTCTTTCTCTGTGGTCGTGTAATTCACCTCGGTACGGGACAGTGAGCGGCTGGCACAGGCTATGACTCGTTCTTCGCCGTGTTGATTCTGGACGAGCACTGCGCCGAGGCCGATGTTACTGGCGTCAGTGTGCACCTCTGTGTCAGCATCATCGTCAAAATGCGCAAGAACAGGGGCTGACTGCATCCGCTGTCGTAGCTCAGCAAAAGCAGCCTGTTGCTCAGTAGCCCATACAAACGGTGTGTCGTCGCGTGTAAGGCGAGTCAAGGGTTCCGCTATCTTCGAAAACCCTCTAATAAATCGTCGATAGTAGGCGCACAAGCCCAGAAAGCGCCGAACAGTCTTTTTGTCCGTAGGATGCGGAAACGCGGCTACAGCGGCAAGTTTGTCGGGGTCGGGTCGGACTCCTTTGGCGTTGACTACATGGCCAAGGAATTTGAGCTCTTCATAACCAAAGTGACACTTCTGCGGTTTGAGTGTAAGATCTGCTGATTGAATAGCCTGTAGCACACTCCTGAGGCGGTGAAGGTGTTGCTGGAAGGTTTCAGAAAAAACGACAACATCATCAAGGTATACGAGTCAAGTTTGCCACTTCAGACCAGTAAGCACAGTGTCCATCATTCGCTGGAAGGTTGCGGGCGCTGAGCACAAACCAAAAGGAAGGACTCGAAATTCATACAGGCCATCAGGGGTCACAAATGCCGTTTTCTCGCGGTCTCGCTCGACAACCTCAATCTGCCAGTACCCGCTTTTTAAATCCAAAGAGGAAAAATAGTGGGCGCGGCGTAATCTGTCTAACGAGTGGTCGATGCGTGGCAGCGGGTACACGTCCTTTTTAGTGACCCTGTTCAGCTTTCAGTAATCGACGCAAAAAAACATAGCGTTCCGTCTTTCTTCTTGACTAGGACGACCGGAGAGGACCACGCACTGTTGGAAGGCTCGATGATGCCGTCGTCAAGCATTTCTCGAACTTGCGTACGAATGGCTTCTCGTTCCTTCGCTGACACACGGTAAGGCTGTTGGTGTACTGGGCGGGCGTCGTCGTAAGTGATGATTCTGTGCCTTGTGATCGAAGTCTGGCGCACCTTAGAGGAAGCAGCGAAGCATGACTTGAATTCAAGCAAGAGTTTTCGCAGTGCTGTCTGGTTTTCTGGTGTGAGATTAGAATTAATATCGATATTGTTTAGAGACGTATCGGCGGCCTCCACTGCTTCCGACGAGAAGCAGATGGGAACGGTTCCTAATTCATCTGCAAACGCTAACGAAGTGCCACGGAAAAGGTGTCGGTGTTCGTTGCTGAAATTTGTAACGAGCAGTTGAGATCGGCCATCACGTAGCTGTATGATACTCCTAGCCACACAAACACCTTGAGTCAGCAGGTGTTCAAAATTACTTTCTGCAATCGCTTCCCCATTTCGCAATCCACAGCATGTGACGTCGACAATAACACTGGCTCTTGGAGGAAGCGTTATACTTTCAGCAGAAACACGAAGAACGTCGGTACGTTGTTGGTCGTCCTGCTTTTCGATTGCTCGGTCGGCTGAGAAGGTGATGCGATTCTCTTGAAGATCAATGACAGCTCCATATTCCTGCAGGAAGTCAACACCAAGAATAACGTCGCGTGAACATTCACGGAGCACAAGGAAACTTCCTACAAAAGTATAACCGCAGACCCGAACTCTACTCGTGCAGGTTCCAAGCGGAGAGACGGTGTGGCCACCAGCCGTTCGAATCACGGAGCCATGCCGCGGCGTGGTTACCTTCTTTAGTAGTCTGTTCATTTTCCCGCTTAGTATCGAATAGTCAGCCCCGGTATCAACTAAAGCACCTACTGCATAGCCGTCAATCAGCACCGGTATATCCAGAGAAAGCCGCACATATCGCTCAGTCGAATCTACACCCTTTACTGTTAGCGTCGATCGGAGGTCTTCAGCACGTCGACTGCCAGCGACCTCGCCTCCAAGGGTCGCTTGCGTTAGTTTTCCCGGCGGGGACTGGAGGGCCGTGCGCCACCAGCATGGCGCTGTGGCGAAGAAGAAAAGCGCCTCGGCGACGGTGAGCGCGACTGCCGTCCAGAAGGCAGTGGCATGCGCTGTTGAGCCAAGTAGTCCTCAATGTCCCGGGGTCGATGGCCATACCGAAGAGGCGCTGAATATACTGAAAATCCGCGCCGCCCGAGGCGCCGGTATGAACACTGGCGGTACAAATGGCCCGCTTCACCGCAGTGGAAGCACAAGGGTCGGCGATCAGGAGTGCGCCAAACATCAGATTTCCGAGGCGAAGCATGTCTGTCGTCAAGGTAGTGTGCTGGTTGTTCCGCAAGATGCACAGGGCTGGCGTAAACGAGGGGTGGGGGCGTGCGTGTGTTTTCGTAGTACCATAGAGGCTGCGCCGACTGAAGTGAAACCGTAGGAGGTGCCTGAACAATCAGCGGGGAAGAGGAAGCTGGGCGCTTCAAGGCTTCTGCATAGGTCGCACGGTGGTAGTCAGCCGGGGCGGGTGTGGCGTTATTCAGACTCACAGGGTCACGAAGGGCATGATGCAGCTCGTCCTTGACGATGCTTGCAATGGAACTCACCGTAGGTAGTGGTGGTGTGGCAGCCTTTTGCAGCTCCTCGCGTACTATGGAGCGGATAAGGTCGCGCAGACACTCGGTGATGCTCCCAATATTCGTTAGAACTTGAGCAGTGGACGTGTTCACTTGCCGCTCATACAGGGTGGATCGATGCTGAAGCATCTTTTCCATCGTGACAGCTTCAGACAAAACTCGGCGACCATGTTCGGAGGGCTCCGTACAAGGCCAGCGAAAAGCTGCTCCTTAACTCCCCGCATCAGGTGACGCACCTTCTTTTCTTCTGTCATACTCTGATCAGCCCGTCGGAACAGGCGCGTCATATCTTCCACATAGGTCATGACAGTTTCATTGGGCATCTGGATGCGGGCCTGGATCGCTCGTTCCGCTCGTTCGTGGCGATCAGCACTTCTATAAGTATCCAACAGCCGGTGGCGGAATTCGGGCTACGATGTCATCTGTTCCTCGTGATTCATGTACCAGGTACGTGCTCCATCCTCCAAATAGAAGTACACACGTCGTAGTTTGGCCGCGTCGTTCCAGTCATTCAAAGCAGCCACGCGCTCGAAGTTGACCAACCAGTCCTCGACGTCTTCGAGCTCGGTGCCATGAAACGGTGTCGGAACCTGTGGACTTTCGAGGGTGTACCGAGTCACCGGGGGGTTTTCCGTACCTGTTGAAGTGGTTTGAACGGACGTGCTCATCATACTGGTGTGAACTGTAGGGTCAGCTTCGGGAGGCAATCCCCTGATCCTGCGGCTTGCCCGATGAACGGGAGTGTTGACTCGCACTAGGCTTGTGGTGCCGCTTCCAGGAGGGGTCTGAAACATCTGTGAGGGGCCTACACAGCACCTCCACCAACTGTCACGTCACTCCAGGGGGTGTCGACAAGGTTTACTGACGTCTGAGCAACAGGGCTCTAACCAAGCGCGTCGGTTGGGCTTGTTTGCCAGAGCGGGGGCCCACGTGCACTTCTTTCTTCTATGTGGTGTGTGCCTTCACCTTGGCATACGACCCACAACTAGAAGTAGGTGGCAATATGCTACCTTTAGCTGTATATGCTACCTAAAGGTAGCATATACAGTAACTTTCGGTTGAGTGTCGTCGCTCTTTGTCCCTCGCCGTAACAGAGCTAACGAGCTGTGATGTTTGGCCTGGCAATTCGTCTGGGCAGACGCCATTGTGCGTAAGCCGGTCTACTAGGGAGGCTTTCAACCGCATCGGCGCCTAGTCTGCAAGACGCTGTCTGGTATAAGTTCCAGGAAGCAGTCGGGTCTCAACGGAAGCTTCGCGAGGCAAGCCTTTTGCTGAACGGGCTCGAACAACGGGGGAACGGCGCCACTGTGGTGGGTCTCATTAAGTCAACCTCTTCACTCGGCTTTTGTCATCTACGCGAGGCCATCTCAACGCACCGACAGCCCGGAAGCGTGGGAACGCGTCGAAGAAGCCGTTCACCGGAATCGAGCGTTTGGACTGCCTGAAGCTGAAAGCAGAATGGACCGCTGCGGACAGCGGCCATCTCCCCGGAGGAGCTAAACTTTCCCTCTCCGGACTCTACCTCCTCGCCCTGCGGTGCCTTCAAGGCAGGCATGGGCCGGGTGCGCCTTTGTGTGGTGCGTTCCTGTTACCATTGGACCATTTCGCCCAGCCGAGTGGTGCAATATCTGCACCCTTTCTAGGGGGGGGGGGGGCACAAAGACTTCGTCCCCTGTTTTGTGGCAAGAGTGATCGCCGCCTCCTTCGCACGGCGGAGGCGGCGGGCTATAAAAGCCGAAGCATTTTTGTAAATAGTGCTAAATCTTGTGCGGAATACTGTACGAAATCATGAGCTGAACCTCTGTTGTACATATTGCGGTATCTTCTGGATCCCTGTAGAGTTCCTATTCTTCTTCAATAATGTAAATAAACCTTCGTTCAGTTTTTTTTAACGCGTCCCCTCACTGCCGAAGATCGGCTATGTGGACGACGGCGGGGCGCCAGCTACCTTAAAGAGAAGCCTGCCGTTCCTGCCATCAACTTCCCTACCCTTTACAGAGCTCACAAACCGAACGTCGAAAGTGGTGCTTTTGGTGTTGTGAAAAAGTGATATGCTTATACAATAAAAAAGAAAGTTTGTTTTTTTAGATGTGAAACATTTTATGCCGGCAGCTGTGTCCCACAGTCCTGCGGCGTCTCGCCCCCCCACCTTCACACACACACACACACACACACACACACACACACACACACACACACACACACACACACACACACACACACGTAATATATATATATATATAATATATATATATATATATATATATATTATATATATATATTATATATATATATATATATATATATATATATATATATATATATATGCAGAAGAGTAACTTTGCTTGCCGCAAGAGTATAAGTACAAAAGTAGATGCGCTTTCACATAACAACTTGTTTATTCAGCCGACGTTTCGACAGGAGCCCGGCGTTTCTTCAAGGCAGGATATTTTTCAAGGCTTGAAAAAGACGGGGCTCCCGTCGAAACGTCGGCTGAATAAACAAGTTATGTGAAAGGGCATCTACTTATATATATATATATATATATATATATATATATATATAATATATATATATATATATATATATATATATATATATCTATATAATATATATATATATATATATATATATATATATATATATATAGCGTGCGCGTGTGAGTGTGCGCGTTAACTTAAAGCAGACTGTGGGTCTCTGTGTCCAATCGGCGTCTTCTGTCTCGCATTGCCCATTAGCAGCAATTGATGTGTTTCTGTAGGAAAGACCGGTTCATCACTGAGGGCCCATCATTATGGCCAAAACATAATCCTCCGTCGAACACATTTTCAGGCAGCCGCTTCGGTGACCGATTGAGTTTGTGCTTGACTCAGCAAGAGTGATCCAACATAATAAGTGACCATATAGAGGTTAGAGATAACAGGATAGCGCCATACTGTTCAAATTTAGTCCAGTTTTTGTATGTTGAAACATTGGATCAGTTATTCCGCAGAGGCACAAATTATGCGAACGCGGTCTGACAGTTTCGGAGCGGGCAACAAACTTGCGTATACTCACCTGTTCAGTACCTCTTCCCTCAGTGCCTCTATGGACATCTTTGTGATGTTTAAGCTCATCAGAGCGAATGGGAAGTTCTGAAAAGAAAATATGCAGCGTCACTTCCAATGTATCAAGCAAGGGCACTATAGATCTATATATCTATATAGATCTGGCACTCTATATACGAGGTGGCACTATAGATCTTGCAGTGCCGTGGGGAGATTTCTCCTGTTCACGTGCGTGTGCAGAACGTATATTACTATATAGTTATTTTCCGCAGGGCTTTCTGCTGAATCAGCTAAGTTACTTGCGCAAAGAACACACTTGCAACAAAATTTAAAGAAAATAGAGGGCGCTTGAGCTTCGCCTCAAGAGTATAGCTCGCGCTAGCGCAAACGGACCTCGTGCGCATCCACTTCCGAACTGCTAGCCAGCTTCGGTTCTCGGTGCATGTCTCAACCTCGCCGTAAGAAAATGAAAGTACAATTGAATGCCTACTGCGAGCGCAGCTGTTAGACGCCCACTGCGCCATAATTATTCATTTCGCGATTCGGCGAATGGCCCACTATGCATCCGTATAGGGTAACGCGAGAAGCCACGCAGCTGTTCACCTTGTTGATGGCGTGCTGCTGATGACAATTAAACATGCCTGAGTGTTTTTCAATGGTTGGGCCTCTAAAGCACCCACTCGTTGCTCAATTAACATATTTTGGCGCCAGACGTGATTCTACGCTGCTGTCACACAATATATGACGCGTTATAAGGTGACATCCTCCACTATACATGACGTTCATGTAGTGTGTGTTTTTTTAAAGCAGTATAGGAAATACGCTTGCCTCGCAGACGGGCAGTGTTCGATCCTCACTCAGACCGCGAATTTCATTATTATAATTTTGTTAGCATTTTTCTCGATTTTTCGGTCAAGGACAAGATGATGATTTTCCGCTCACAACCAACGACACCAACGCTGACGCCAACGCCGGAATTACGGCGAAACGACGTCTTTAGCGCTGTCGCGTTAAAGAGGTTCACTATTCACGCCCTACATGTCTCAAGCAAGGAGGGCTTGCTGCAGTCGTGTTGGTGAATGTCTGGGTGCGTGTGTACATGTGTGTACTGGCCTGAAGGATTTCATTAATCTGAAGCCCTGTTCGCTCCAGACAATGATTCGCGTGCATGAGCGCAAGTTAGCCGAAGCTTGAGAAAACTGTCTAACACTCGCGAAAAACTGTGATGAACACCGAAATGCGGGTTCCAAGTGCGCAGCCAAACATGCGTTTTTTTTTTTCTGGAGGAGGGGAATTAAACCCCCGTTTATGTACGTTCGTGGCCCCGCCGCGATGGTCTAGTGGCTAAGGTACTCGACTGCTGACCCGCAGGTCGCAGGATCAAATGCCGGCTGCGATTGCTGCATTTTCGATGGATGCGAAATTGCTGTAAGCCCGTGTGCTCAGACTTGGGTGCACGTTATAAGGAACCCCGAGTGCATGGTCGAAATTTGCGGAGTCCTTCACTACGGCGTCTCTCATAATCGTGGTGGTGGTTTTGGGACGTTAAACCCCACCTATTAATCATAAATGTACATTCGTGCGCGCGTTTGTATGTGCACGCATACATATACTGATGCTAAGTGGAGGAAAAACATTTGGGTTGGGGCTGAAATATCACCCCTCCCCTTTTTTCCCGCCACCTGGTTATGCAAATGGCTCGTTTGTTTCGAGGCCGTGATCGTGCTCACGCATGAATATTTCAGCTATACTATTTAAGCATCCGAGACCTGCAAAGTTCATTTTATAAACAAAATTCACCGTCGCAGTGTAATAAATAAATTGAAATATAGTAGCATAGATGGAAGTAAGTAATGTTACAAGCTTATTTACATTATTCTATGCTACTTTAATTTTATTAATTAGAAATATAAAGCAACCTTGCAACGTGCTCCTCCCTCCCCCCCCTTTCCGTCACTAGCAAAAAAAAGAACGCAGCTCTAGAAACGTAGTGGTACAATAAAATTTACAGCATCAGCTCGAAGATGTTCATCGGTAGGCGAAAATGGAAGTGAAAGAGGCCGTGGTAAAGCTTGACGTACTAAAATGGGCAACACAAGAACAGCGCTGTGTTGCACATTTTCGCCCCTTATTTTGCAGCGTTGAGTGGTTTCTTTACAACGTCTCGAGTCAGTTTAGTGGCAAGTCGATACATACCTGGTCTCGATCGCGTGACAGGCTGTAAATGTCGTTAACCAGCTCTATATTCCCGAAGCCTGTAGTCAAGAAGAGAAGGTGTAGCATACCAAGTACACCAACGCCTCTCAAATCGGTGGCCGGGTCATTTCCTGCAAAGTGACAGCATATCTGGAATCTGCAGAGGAAATGATAAGAAAGCCTGCTACCTTGGAATCCGATTCTCTCCCAGTGACCACCGTACCTCGGGCAGTCGTATACAGTGTGCGTAAGTTTCCTGTAGATTGTCTGCAGAATCTCCAAATGCAGCGTGTTGTCGTTATCGAATGGACCTGAGGCGATTGTAAAGGAGCGTGTGTTTCGCCTTAATTGTTCAAACGCTACGCTATCACGAGCTGTACACTCTTAAAAAAAAAAAAACAGTGAGTAAAAAGGTGGCAACTGCAAGCAAATAGGTAGTAACTGCAGCGGTTACTACCTTACTTGGACCGTTACTACACTTTTGCTATCTGTTTACTACCTACGTTAGTAAACAGTTACTATCTGCTACCGTTACTTACGTTTTGCGACCTGTTTAGTACCTACGTTAGTAAACAGTTAGTAACGGGAATGAAAGAGGTAGTAACTGCAGCCGTTACTACCTTTCTTGCCCCGTTGCTACCTTTTTGCTACCCGGCTGTTGACTATTTATTCCAAAAAAGTGTGATTCCGATTCTGATTATTTATGAGAGAAATCGTCTCGACGTATTATCATTAAACAAAAAAACAGCGGAGAAGATATCTGTAGATCAAGAAAATACATTTTGTTTTAAATTATGCAACTGAGATAGGTAAACGTAATTCTGATATTGTCGAAACGGAGCAGTACAAATTAACTATAACCATAGGCAAATGTACACGCGTTGCAATAAACAATTACAACAAACTTAGTAAATTACAGCACATATTAACAAGACCGGCGGATCAAAATTACCAGACGGTCGCAATTAGCCCCGAAAACGATCACAATCACTCCACTGTGGCGTGTCTCTAAACATTATCATTGTTTTGGCGCGTCAAACCCCAAAAACGAATATTACCTTGTAAACATTGATATATTAGCCGTGTGAAGCATTCAAATACACTCAGAAGGAGTTCATAACTTTGTTTTGGCCACTGTCAGTAATATCTTTTTGTGACCCTTTTATAATAAAATAAATAAATATGACATGCATTTTTTTATAAAATAAGGCTGATTGAAAGTCTTGTGCTACGCCACCAAACATACGTAACCAGATAGTATAATATAGTGCTATAGGTTCAAATTTATTATAATTCATCCTGAAACACAAGTACTCCCTTGTGCCAGACATGCCCCTGCAAAGTGGGGGCTATATATACTCCATGCGTGCTTCTTACTAGGCGTATGCGTAAAAAATACTGAACTTGTTAGGTCTATGTATTATTCGCGTTCATGACACACCACGCTTCATTACCCGAAGTTGTCTAGTAATGAGACATTGATTGGCGAACATTAGCAGTGGAGAAATAATATGCCAAAATGGTTACACAAGGTAGTATCGGTCACCACTTTTTTTTCTCATATCCTTTAAAAGTTGCTACCCATGGGTGGTAACGGCTGGGGTAGTAAGTTACTAAATGCTGGTAGTACCAGCAAGTGTATCAACTGTTACCACCCTGGCCGTTACTAACTGAACTTACTACCAGGGTTGTAACATATGTGACAAACCATTACTACCCCAAAGTTAGTAAGTATTAACACCTTTTTTCTAAGAGTGTAGGAGTGAAACACAAGCATACACTGGGCCAAGGCGAATGTGAAGTCTCTGGCTGGCACTAGCCCCAATTTCAAGCGCGGCGGACCGAAAAGGCAGTGTAAGATCAGTTTGATACCTCTGCGCTGGATCACAGGCCTGATGGCGGTCTGCGAACGAAAAACAGGTGTCTGTCAATTGAAGTGAAACATACGCCGCTGCATGATTCATGAACGACTGACTTAGCCAGCTTACCATGTACGAGCTCAGGTCTTTCTCCTTGAAGTAGCAAAGGGCTTCCTCATACGTAATAATTCGCGAACAATATGTCACAGCCCCTATACCTAAAAGAATAACCAATCAAAAGGCTTGCGCAGGTTCAGCCAGAGTGGCATAGTTTTTACCGACAACATTCGTCACTTTGTCCCATTCTTCTTGTGCCGCACGCTGCTCCTCTTGCGCTCTTAAAGAATCTCAAAGGTGGAACCGTTACATTACTTTTTTTTGTTTAGCAAAAATCTTCAACTTATGTAAGTTATCTTACCGAGTTCTGCGTGCTTAAAAAAAGCCGGTGTACTCAGGTCAGCCGGGTCCTGAAATTAGAATAGCACAATTATTAGAGCTACAGTGTCTAATACCTTTATCCCGTACTTCGTCAACATCACATCATCGAAGAACTCCGTACCATACATGACTGTCAAACACGAAACTCTACTTTACGGCAGCATTCGCAAAGTTTTAGCCAGGCAGTGCTCTTACACGCGTGCCACCGAAAAGCGCACCACATCATTACATGTGCACAGACTCGCAACGGAATCGCCACGCTCCGCGCTACAGTCACTGATGAAATAGCTACACGCAATAGGAGAAGTGATACGGCGTCATCGGCTTCATACCGTTTCGTCGCTCTCCTCCGGTTCCAGGGGCCATGTGTCCATTTTGGCCCAGAGAGTGTTTGGACGTTGCCTAGACAACGCGCTTGTCGGTATCCCGTTTGTGAAGCCTGCGAGAAATGGTTATCAAAGGCAGAGCGCGCTACCACTTGTGAAGGTGGTGTCCCAATGCCCCGTTCGAGACTGTCCTGAGGGTGCACCAATTTTTTTTCTTTCTTTCTGCCTCTGTTTTGCGCGCCACTTCACTGGCCTCCCGGATCTCCCTTTCGGTGAAGGCCCCTTCCGGATCGAGAGGCGTGCAACGCTGCAGAAATGGTGAGAGGCGCATTGATCGCGTGCGGTACAGACTATAGCGGCGTCGTGCGTCGGGTACACCCGCGGATATACAAGCACGCTTGCCGAGCGTTTTCTGGATATTTTTGTAATCACGTGCTCGTACGCCCGAATATTCTGGAGCGGCAACCTTCGGTTCCATTCGAGTTCTCATTTTTCCATCGTCATTATCAGGCTTCAAGGAAATTTACAACGAGTTGCGATACCAGAGAAGTGTGCTGCGAGAAAACGTGCTTTTGGTGTTCGCGCTTTAAAACAGTGTTCTGACTGAAATATGTAGGGCAGCGGGCGTGCGATGTGCTACGTTGGCGCGGATGCTGCAGCGTAAATTTTGTACGTTCTGTGCCGTACATAATTCAATGTGATCGGTAATGCCCTCTCTTGCGGTATACGCTACGTTGTGGTAAGCAGTGGTGCAGTCGAATAAAGCTTCGTTCTACTTGGTGTAGCAAATGGTAATGTGTGCTAAAAGAAGCTGAATGGCTGCAACTATTCATACAGATCATGAAAGCTCGTGTTTGCCGCTGGCGTACCAATTTCAATGAAATGTTTGTGAATTTCTCTCACAGCTTCGCGTGGGGAAAGCATTAGAGGAAACATTCACGTCCCAACGCTTTCATAAAATAAATTAGCCACGACATAATCAACTTAACAAGCATGTGCAGCGTATACATATATGCCCAGAGTACGCACTTGGGGTCACACGCAGGGACTCCTGGCCCTACTCAGGAAGCTCAAGTCGACGCCAGACCGCGAGCTGCGGATCCTGCTGCTGGGTCTCGACAACGCCGGCAAGACGACCATCCTCAAAAAGTTGGCGTCGGAAGACATCGCCCACATCACACCGACACAGGTGCTGTTTGATGCAATGCGAGCGTTTTTACCAAGACATGCACGCATATGCATGCGCGGTCCTCTCCATAAAATGGGAGAAGGGGGAGGGAAGCTTTTTTCTAACCCCTCTAATTGAGGCTTTTACTTTCAGAACGCATTGCAAAGGCGAAGTATTCTTGGATGGGGGGGGGGGAGATGCCTGCCCTTCTTTTGCGCATGCAGTGCAAAGGCAAAAGTTATAGCGCGAGAACAGAACGACGACACAGAGACAAGAAGGACGCTCGTGTCCTTCGTGTCCTTCTCGCTCGTGTCCTTCTTGTCTCTGTGTCGTCGTTCTGTTCTCGCGCTATAACTATCGTCACGTCATACCAACTAGCCCAAGCTGCAACACTGCAAAGGCGAAGTATTCTTAGGGGGAGGGGGGCGAGATGCATGTTCTTCTTTTGCGCATGCCTATGCATGCACACTCAAGCTACAAAACTTCTGAAATTCGGGCGAGTTCGTACTTGAACATAGTGGTATTTATAGCGCATAAACCGACAAGAAACGAAATAGTACAGAGTTATACAGACGAGCGCTCTTGTCCTTTTGTTTCTTGTCTGTTTACGCGCTCTAAATACTACTACAAAACCGGCTGAACACTTCCAGAGCGAACGGCATACAACAGGTCGCGGTTAATGCTCTGTTAGCACCTCTCCTTGGTGTACAAAGAGTAGTATGCTACGAGAAGAGATCGCTATAGCGGTATGGTATGGTATGGAAAACAATTTTATTTAGGTCCGTCGGGGCGTGAACTAGCACGGGCCGCTCCCACATCGGGACAGATAAACCTAACCTCGTCACGGGCCCGCTGCACTGCCCATACGTCGTCCAAGTGGGATGCTGCACTACGCAGTGCAGCATCCCACTTGGACGTGGGATGGTGGCGTCAAGAAATACGAAAATTGGCCCGGGCATCAGCTTCTCCACAATGCATCGTTGCTAGCGGCGTTTGGAAGACAGACTTGCAACTCTGCTACCTAGCTAGCGGTAGCACATGCAGTAACTCTAGGTCAACCAAGAGCTCGGCGCAGAGAGAGCTTGCTAAGAAAGTGTGCATGTAAAGAGGAACGCTGTATACAAATGTCTTGCTCAAGACGGACACCTTGAAGCCCGCAAAAAAGGAGCCGTGCCAGCCTTGCGTGCCGCCTTTATGCCGTGACTCTCGGTGCTGGAACGATTTTTCACCCAGTGTTGGAGGGGCAGGAGCATATAAATTCAGACGAGACAAACATATATCGCTAAGACAGCCAGCGCTATAAGAATGTGATCGCTCCATCACATATGTGCTCCCTCCTAAATTCTCAGCCGCCAATTAACGATTACCTAGATACACGGCCGCACTAAAACAGTTCTGATGTGAGGTCGGTAGGCACGTTCCTTTTCACAAAGCTCAAGAGAAGCCTAAAAGATCACCCTTTCGACGGGGTTCCCGCCACTCATCAGGCTGCCACGGTCTCTGAAAATGGTCACGGCGGCTGGCAGCCTTTGTAGCGTGCAAGTCGCACTGACGGCGGCGTATCGACGCCCAGGAAGGCGTATTGACGCCTTTTTTGGAGCTTGTTCCTAAAACTTGCGCTTTGATTGCCAATGCACACACTTCTGTGGTCGCCGCTGAAGGTCACCGCTCAAGGTTGCCACTACGGTCACCTCTCCGGTGATTCCAGCAGTGCCCACTAGATAGCGCACCACTAACCAATTCCATAGAGTTACTGTATATGCTACATTTACCTAAAGGTAGCATGTACAGTAACAACGACAAAGCTCCAACAGTGGTGGAAGTGGTGTCAAAAGTGAACTCTCCTTTGTGCTTTCGATCTTCTTCTTTTTCTTTTTTCTTTTTCTTTTATTTTTATATGCCTAGGCCGGAACACAGCATAAGTGTTCACCTGTTACAAAGGGCAAAGCCACAAATCATCATCATCATTGGTTTTCAATGACACACGTGCTCGCCTCCTCGCGACTACGTCCACTTCGTTCTCGTCGCTTCGTGAACACTATTTTAGTACACTGTAGTAGGCACGGCAGCACGTGACAAGTTCCTTGGATGAGTGTTACGAACGGGTTTCGATATCCTCCCAAGCTTCCTCACCTGCCTGCTCTCAACCCTGTTGAAGAACACTCTATATCTGGCCACGTCTGCCATTTATGAGCGTTAGGCGTTTGATGCACGGCAGCGGCCAGTATTGCATAAAGGGACAGGTGGTTAACGTGCCGATCGACGTGGCCAACACTGCGCAATGTCGGTCGCGGAACGTGCCTGACAAATCTGCCTTCGACGCACACATCATGTGCCGGCTCGTTAACAAGTCTTTCTACAGAAATTTTGTCACCAAAAAACGCCCAGCATGTACCTCCGAGCAAGCTCCTCTAATATGATTTGCTTTGTGGATATAGCGGTGATTTTTTTTGAAGAATTTTGATATGTGATGGTGGTCAGATATGTTTTTTTTAGCCAGACCAAGTTATTACTTTACGCACAGACCTTGTACGTTAATTACATCAATTTCTTTCCTCAAACTCAAACGGGACGTTTGTATTCATTGAAATCTTGCATTTAGATAAAATGTATATATAGTGCCTTGTAGATTTTTTTCCCTTTAATGTCGTAGTACACAGCGGTCATTGTCACCATACAACAATCGACTCCATCCCGCAATAAGTATCACGGTATAAATGCATGCACGTACAATCGATATTGAATATACTTCTTAATCTTTCGTCGAGGAAGCCAATTTTTCACGTGTCTGCATGTTTCTTAACAGTGTCGTATCATCTGTTTGCTACAGGGTTTTAACATCAAAAGCGTGCAAGCTGAAGGCTTTAAACTGAACGTCTGGGATATCGGCGGCCAGCGCAAGATTCGACCTTACTGGCAGAATTACTTCGAAAACACCGATGTGCTGGTTTGTGTGGCTTTTTTTTTTATACATCGCCGCGTGCGTGCCTTTTTTCGCTGTGCAACTAGGTTTCACTTCTAGGTTTTCACTTCTATATATATATATATATATATATATATATATATATATATATATATATATATATATATATATATATATATATATATATAATATATATATATATATATATATATATATATATATAATATATATATATATATATATATATATATATATATAGCTTCTTTCCTTATTTATTCCCTTATATATTAACGAATGTCTCGTACAGGCAGATTTGGTGCCGTTAGGTTGTATACGAGGGACTTTTGGTCAGCTGCCAGCTCGTACAAGTTCACGTGCTACGTGACGTCATACAGGCTCATAAAAAAAGAGTGTACCACACTCGCCGCCATGGCTACAGGTGGCGCTGACATACACTCCCACGGTTAAATTCACATATAAACCCAATGAAGTGGCTGGGGGAATGGCCGCCGTGATAGCTCAGTGGTAGAGCATCAAACGCGTTATTCGAAGATCGCAGGTTCGGTTCCTGCCCACGGTAAGTTATTTTTTCACCAACTTTTCCTTCTTCACATCTAATAACTTCCCCTATACTTTCATTGGCATTAATCTCTGCGGTTAGATATCATTTATATATATATATATATATATATATATATATATATATATATATATATAATATATATATATATATATATATATATATATATATATATATATATATATATATATATATTTGTTACCACATGAGTAATTTAGGTATGTGCACCTGTGTAGCGGGGAACATGGTGGTGGAATAAGAAGAGGACGTTCGGTTGGTGGCAGGAGCTCGCTGCTGCGCGTTCACTGCTGTATACCGTCGAGTCGAGCTGTTACGTCAGCTCTGAATAAAACCCCTCTCGTAGACGCAACAATATATATATATATATATATATATATATATATATATATATATATATATATATATATATATATATATATATATATATATATATATATATATATATATATTAAGTGACCTTAATGAAGACAATGCTAGAGTGCCACAGTGCTGCAGGCCCTGGCTCTAGCAGTATAGTGGTGCCGAAGAAAAAGTGAGTACCACTGTTCGTAGATGATTTACTGGCCTCCGCATTAACTCGAGTCAACCACAGACGCCTGCAAAAATAGTGATACTTGCGCAACGCCAGACAGAACCTTGCTTTTCATTCAAATTGAAGGGTATATGACGTCACACGGGACGTTTTTGCTCCACAAGAAGGTTATACTAAAACTAACCTCCTTGCGTCTCCAGTCACGCGATCCTGAGGGCAGCCCTTCCCCATACATTGCGCTAGCGCAACGTATAGGGAGAGCTGTCATATGTGAATATGGACAGCTGTACATATTGACAGACGATTAACTCAGGCAGCCACAGCTAGCCCCAACCAGTTTTTCAAACACCTTATGCGTCTCAATAATGACGAGAAAAAAGGTAAATATAATCTTTCATTTTCTTTTTTAGACTCAATATTGACGAGTTCTAACAGACAATGATGCCAAGAGAAGTATGAGGGATGTTGTTAGAAGTAATTGTAATGTAATTCCGAAGAAAAAAAAAAGAGTGGACGAAAATATAACTTGCCCTGGGCAGGACAGAACCTGCGACATTCGAATAACGTGCCCAATGCACTTTCACTGATGGCGGTCGTTTCTTCGTCCTTATCATAGGGTGTGCATTAAACGTGGGAGCTTCAGTCAGCGCCACCTGTTGCCATAGCGGTGAGCGTGCAAAACTCTTTTAGGGGCGAAGCACCTCGAGGTCTAAGATTGTCCGTTGTCCGGCACAGCACTTGCAAGGTACCGCAACTTTCTTGACGCAGGGAAACGCCCCGTATGCGATAACGCCTTTCACCATCCTGCTGATAAGCGAGGTACCCGCTACACATCTGTAAGGCATTATGTGCACTTTATTTGAGCTGTGGCTGATGACGACGAATAAGTCCATTCCAGACCACACGTTCTTTTTTTTTACGATGGATCAAAACGAACTTGAACGTGCTCTCGAATTGTATTCACGCTTAATAGTACAAATCAGCGCAACCAACAGAAGGGGACTGAGAGGGGAGGGGGGGGTACCCTCCTAGCTTTAACATGAAGGTCAGGAGCTTTCTCTCTCCCAATGATATACGCCAATGATGTTTGCGCTTGCGTCCAGCAGTTGTTTTTTCATGTCGACTAACAGAACTGATAGTTATAAGGACACAGAGCGCTGAACTTCCAACAATTCATTTCTTTGGGAAGTATTCGCTTTTATACAGTAACACGCTGTTATAACAGCCATGCGCGGAACACGATGACGTTAGAGGAATTCGTCACCAAGACATGGATTCATATTTTCTTTATTAGTAAGCGTGACAGAGGGGGTACTTACACAATCATCTTTTGAAAAGAAAAATCCTGCCTGCCTCGATTTCGGGTGTGGTGCGATCCCTGTATTTTAAGATTTTAAGAATTGATTCCAAGGACAGTGCACTGTGCTTAACTCTCAAACACTTTAAATCTGATGTTTGAAAGGTAAACCTCCAGGGGGAAACTTGCAGTGGGTACCCCCCCCCCCCCCCAGCTTAAACATAAAAAAGGTCAGGAACACCCTCTCTCCCCACGATTTACGCCAACAATCTTTGCGCTTGCAGCAGTTGTTTTTCATCTCGACCAACAGAACTGATATTTTCGCTATAGTGTCTTGTACGTGTCTTTTCTTCGCTTTGTGTACTAAATCTGTGGTTTTGCTCAAGGAGGGCCAGATGCATAGATGTTGTTCGAATATTTTTAATCAACCAGCCCGCTGCCAGGTTTTCCCCCTAAATTCCCCAGTTCCGGAGTGCACATGCGTTTAACATGTTGCAGCTGTACGTGATTGACAGCTCGGATAGGGCGCGCTTCGAGGAGACAGGCGTGGAGCTGGCCGAACTTCTCTCAGAGGACAAGTTGCTGGGAGTGCCGTTGCTTGTTCTGGCCAACAAGCAGGATTTGGTGCATAGCGCGCCTGCGGCTGAGCTGGCCGATGGCCTCAACCTGCCCGCCGTCCGTGACCGGCCCTGGCAGATACAGGCCTGCAGTGCGCTTTCCGGCGAGGGTCTTAAGGTACGTCAGTGCGAATCTCTAAAGCCATTGTTATATTCCAACGCACCAGGAGATCGTTCGGCAACATGCTACTCGGAACCTCCCCGCAGCCGAAGGTGCCACCGCCCTGAAGGCGCCAGCTGCCGTCAATTCCGTATAACTTCCCCCACAAGCTCACAATCACTTTCAAAGTGCTCGGCGAAAACTGAGACGCATTGCTGGCATACTTGTGATATACGCACTGGAGACAAAAAAAAGTGTTTGAGTATGCTACATTGACCATCGGCAGCCCACTTTCCTACATTTCCGTGAAAGCCTTTGTCGACCATTTTTTTTTCTATCGGAGGAGAAATGAGAATTTTGAAATCGCGTACAGTGTTTGTCTAAAGAAATGAAGCCACTCAGGTGCACCTGATACTAGTAGACAGGAGCGAAGCTATGCGCGACGCTTCCATCCAACCTTCTGTGGCATCCGTTGATCCACATTCCTCCAAGGCCTCGAACAATGCAACTATTGCCCTATAGGCATGCTGCTTACATATTACGGCGTCTTATAATTCTTTGGAAGCACCAGGACATACCCAATATACAACGACACTCATTATTTGAGGGGTTTCACTTCGTTAGACGAGCGCTACAAATAGAGGTTCGACTTTCATTTTTAAGACCCACATATAATCGCAGATATCAGCACAATAAATTACACACATGTGTAACTTCGAATGGTCATCTCAAGTTAAACATTGTAATGTCGACAGTGGTAGTACAGGCCTCACGCAGATTAGCGCCCAAGATTTTTATGCAGAATCACGCAGACGCGCTCCTGCAGGAAATTCGCTCTAAGCCCAAGTTGATTGTAGATACAAGTGAAATGAACACTTCGAAAGGTCGTTTTGGAAAAGATGCACTAACAGACTGGAACACAGGGATTTAAAGCAATAACATGGCGTCATACTTGAGGTCCCACTCGTTATGGCTGCATTTTAGGAATAACAAAACATCTCCTTGACGTTTCCTGACGCGCTTTGTATAGAACACATAAAACTATAAACAAACGCACGTAATAAAAACGCCTGAGGTTTAATTTTTGTAAATCTATCGAGTCGAGGCGAGGCCGCTGATTCTCGACGTGATGAAGACCTCGCCCTCCAATCGACGCGACATCGGACCAACGGAAATTCGACTACGCCAGCGCCTGTATCCCAGCTGAGCGACTTTTCAATGGACATACCTGTGCTGCTCGACGGTCGCAATTTAACTGCCTTAATAGACACTGGTGCTGACTACTCGATTATTAGCGGACAATTGGCACGTACCTTGAAGAAAGTGATAATGCCTTGGACAGGATCGCATGTACGTACAGCTGGCGGACATGTTGTAACGCCGGTTGGTTTGTGCACGTCCAGGCTACAAATACGAGGCTGCACGTTTTTGGTCAGCTCCATCGTGCTACGTGACTGCTCCGCGAATTAATTCTCGGCCTCGATTTTCTTCGGGAATATGGCGCCGTAATCGACCTACGGCGACGCTGCATTTCCTTTTCGACAGTCAACGCTACGTCAAGGGACTCCAACCGCCGTACAACCGCCCTCCGTGTTTCCGACGACAGTGTCACAATACCACCTCGTGCAAGTATCCTAATTCAGGTGACTTCCGAAGGAACCAGTGACGGTGAAACAGTGGCAGAGTGCAACGTCTCCCTGCTGCTGGCGCTTGGAATTTCTGTGGCACGAGGCATCATTGACATTCGGAACGGTACAGCCGAGGTCATGATTACAAATTTCACCAATGAGCATCGTCACCTTTTCCGGGGCACTGCGGTCGCCTACGCTGAAGCCTTGGAGGACGTCATTGAGTGTTTTGCCTGTGAAGACAGTAGCCGCAATGGACAAACCGTAATAGATGTTGACATGAACAGTGCACTGCCAGAAGAGAACCAGAGGGCCTTGCGAGAGCTATTGTTTGAATTCAGGGCGTGCTTTGCTCAGTCGTCTAAAGTGAGTCAGACGCCAATTACACAGCACAGGATAATCACTTACGACGACGCAAGACCTATTCACCAACAGCCATACCGCGTCTCGCCGACAGAACGCGCAGCTATCAAGCAGCAAGTGAAAGAAATGATCGACGACGGCGTTATCCAGCCTTCGAACAGTCCCTGGTCCTCACCGGTCGTTCTGGTTAAGAAGAAGGACGGTACGCTTCGCTTCTGTGTAGATTACAGAAAGCTCAACAACGTCACAAAAAAAGATGTTTATCCGCTGCCGCGTATTGATGACTCGCTTGACCGACTACGACGAGCGAAGTATTTTTCTTCCCTGGATTTAAAGAGTGGCTACTGGCAAATTGAGGTTGATGAGCGCGACCGCGAAAAAACCGCCTTTGTCACGCCGGATGGCCTCTACGAATTTCGGGTGCTACCGTTCGGACTCTGCTCTGCGCCAGCTACCTTCCAACGCATGATGGACACTGTGTTGACTGACTTAAAATGGCAAAGCTGCCTTGTGTACTTGGATGATGTGGTCGTGTTTTCAACCAGCTTCTCCGAACATCTGAAGCGACTACGACAAGTACTTGAGGCGATTCGGACGGCTAACCTTACGTTAAAGCCGCAAAAATGCCATTTCGGTTACGAAGAACTAAAGTTCCTTGGACATGTCGTAAGTGCAGAAGGCGTCCGTCCTGACCCTGAGAAAACCGCCGCTGTCGCAGCCTTCCCGACTCCTGCCGATAAGAAAAGTGTGCGGCGGTTTCTTGGTCTATGCGCGTACTACCGGCGCTTTATAGGCAATTTTTCGAAATTGCCGAACCATTAACTAGACTCACTAGAGACGATACGCCGTTCGTTTGGAGTGCTGAACAAGAATCAGCATTCACAGAGCTTCGGCTTCGCCTGGCATCACCACCTGTTCTTGGACATTTCGACGAGGAAGCCGAAACAGAAATTCATACCGACGCCAGTAACGTCGGTCTGGGCGCGGGTACTCGTCCAACGGCAGGAGGGAATTGAAAAGGTCATCGCCTACGCAAGCCGAACCCTAACACGCCCGGAGTCAAACTACAGTACCACGGAGAAGGAGTGCCTTGCTGTCGTGTGGGCAATTGCTAAGTTTCGACCTTACCTTTACGGCCGTCCATTCAGAGTAGTGACGGATCATCACTCGCTGTGCTGGCTTGCGAACCTCAGAGACCCCTCCGGACGACTGGCAAGGTGGAGCCTACGTCTGCAGGAGTACGACGTCACTATCGTGTACAAGTCCGGTCGTGCACACGAAGATGCGGACACGTTGTCACGCGCGCCAGTTGAGCCTGCCGCTCCAGAGCTTCGAAGAGGACTGCCCTTTCCTTGGCTCCGTAAGCGTAACAGACTTGGCTTTACGGCAGCGAGCAGATGCTCAATTGCGACCTATCATTGAACATCTAGAGGGCCGCAACGTATCACTGCCCCAGCATATAACTCGCGGATTGTCATCCTTCTGCTTACGACAGGGCGTGTTGTACAAGAAGAACGCAGCCGCCAGCAACAAAACTTACCTGTTGGTCGTCCCCGCAGAGCTGCGTGAGGAAATTCTATTTGCCTGCCACAACGAGCCTCCATCGGGCCATCTGGGCATCACCCGAACCATCGCTAGGGTACGAAAGTCTTACTACTGGCCGAAACTTGCCGCTTGCGTTAAACAGTACGTTCAAGCCTGCCGCGAATGCCAGCGCCGAAAATCCCCATCTGTTAAGCCTGCGGGATTACTTCACCCTATCGAGCCACCCAGAACACCCTTCGATCAAGTCGGCATGGACCTCCTGGGTCCGTTTCCCTTGTCATCTTCCGGCAACAAGTGGATAATCGTCGCTACAGATTATCTAACCCGCTATGCTGAAACTAAGGCGCTTCCTAAAAGCACGGCTTGTGAAGTTGCTCAGTTTTTCATCGAGAGAATTGTATTACGCCACGGTGCTCCATCCTGTGTCATCACAGACCGAGGAACAGCGTTTACAGCAAGGCTCCTTGAACAAGTTTTTCAGTTAAGTTACTCCACGCATCGCAAGACAACAGCGTATCACCCTCAGACAAATGGACTGACCGAGCGGCTTAACAAAACGATGACTGATATGCTGTCTATGTACATAGACGTACAGCACAAGACGTGGGATGAAATACTGCCTTACGTAACATTCGCGTATAATACCGCTACGCAAGAGACCACACGATTCACTCCGTTTCGTCTTCTATACGGTCGGGACGTTCAGACGATGTTGGACGCAATGCTCCCATGCGACATTGACAACATCGAGAATCTCGACGAAGATGCTGAGTGTTTCGTGCAACGAGCCGAGGAAGCACGTCAACTAGCCCGCGTAAACATCAAGAAACAACAAGGCGTCGATGCACAGCGCTACAACCGCTGCCACAGACAAGTCGATTATAAACCAGGTGACCAGGTGTTGGTTTGGACCCCTGTGCGCTGCAAAGGTCTCTCTGAGAAGCTTCTCAGTCGGTATTTTGGCCCGTACAAAGTGCTACGACAAGTGAGCGACGTCAATTACGAAGTCCTTCCGGACGGAAGCCAACCACCCCGACGCCGACAGCTACGACCCGAGATTGTGCACGTGGTGCGGTTAAAACCGTACCACACACTGTGACAATGTTTTTTTTTTTTACGATACACGCTTCGTTTAGCATCGAGGCGATGCTCTTCAGGGAGGAGGGGCAGTGCCGCGCGCTTGAGCTGCCAGCGCAAAAGAGGCAGACGAAGTGGCAGTTCCCCTCGTGCCATTGTTCTGTTTTTGGCTGCGCTGAGCCGACCGCTCTTCGGACTTTTGTGAGGACGCCTTAAAAACGTCTCCTGTCTCTTTAACGTGACAATATGTTTTAACAAGACTGTTTGTTGGCCTAGCTAATACTTGCTTAATGACATATTTTAGCCGCGAAACAACACATACACAAAGCAAATAAACAAACAACGACATGCCACCCGTCCTGTCGTTCTGCGTTTCTTTGTTCTGTGTATACATTATTTTGCGGC